AAGGCAAAACGCAAATACTTTCTGTGCTTTGGAGCAACAGACACATTCTGTTTTTGCAACAGGGCCTGAATCTCTGTTGAAAGGAAACCTATCTCCTCCTGGGATGATAGATTTGCCTGAATGGAGAATGAAATGCATCAATCGGAGCTATTACACTAGGCGAGGTGTGTCTTCTGACAACAACACGCCGGCCATAATGTCCCTGCACCCGCATAGCGCTTTGACAGCACTTCCTGCGGTTAATCACACTCACATGCGCGCGCCCACTGGCTGCCTCCTTTACTGGAGTTACAACTGGGGTGGCGAGTGGGGAATTGTGTCTCATAATGGGTGCCCAATTAACATCGTATGAAACGGATCTTGCTGATTTCAACGAGACATTATGGGGAAATGTGGAATTGTGGAGAGAGATGACTCTTACTCTGGGATAAATGCAATCGTTTTTATTGAATGCATTTTTCACACACACATCACTCTAGAACTAGGGTTACAATACGTAACCCACCGCTCTTGCAACAGGGCCTGAATTTCTGTTGAAAGGAAACCTATCTCCTCCTAGGATGATAGATTTGCCTCTATTATGCCCCTGAATGGAGGAGGGACGCTGCAAAACTGGAGTGAGTAACCCAGTCTCAGTGTCCTGTCCATCCACTCTGTCAGTACACAGCTGAGCTTCCATTCCCCATAAAACTGTGTTAGCGGACATGAAAGCAGCTGTGGAGCAGCAGCTAAGAAACTGTAGTACTCTCTGGTGGTATACTCCGCTGCCAAACCTTCCATAAAAGAAAGTTTGGCCCATGGGGGGCTGACACAGAAAGGGCCGATTTTCTACTGAGGTCCTTGAACGCACCGCGGCACCTCGTGGAAGTACCCCTCAATGCAGTGCGCAATGCCTCAACGTGGGCGGGAGCTCAACGTGGGCGGAGCTCAACCTTTCTCAACCTTTGAGGCACGTGACGTCCCGACTCCCGTGTTGTGTACTTACCCAGTCACAAAAATCACATATCTTATATTATTAATATAATTTTGATGTCTGTGGTTATTTAAACATTCCCTGATAAACGTTATTTCAGCGTCAATAAATTAGTGTTAATCCCAGTGTGTTTAGTGTACAAAATCACATGTAATTTCACCTTCAATTCACGGTTTTCACAACGTTAGCCACATGCTAATGCTAACCGGAAATGAAGACTTTTCAGAATAAAAGTGTTAAGTTAATAGTTAGTGTGAACTTCCGTTTTTTTCAGAATAAAACTGCTTTAAATGAAAACCCTGTATTTAATTTAAATTACGTCATATCAACATTGATTTTAATTTCTTACAGTAGGAGAGGTTTTGGGGTTTAGGTTTGGGAGGGAGGAAGGAAGATTAGGATTAGGTAAAAAGGTAGGGAGTGGTTAGGGTTAGGATGGGGGGAAGGGAAGGGTTAGATTGAAGGGAGGGAAGAGAACTGCTACCGGGAAACAGGATGCAACGCGTCATCTGTGAAGCTCCGCCCACGTTGAGCTCCCGCCCACATTGAGCTCATTGAGGCATTGCGCACTGCATTGAGGGGCTTCTCCTCTCGTGGGGCCACGGCTCCGTCATAATGCCATCTCTTTGAAACGGACATTATGGGGAAATGTGGAATTGTGGAGAGAGATGACTCTTACTCTGGGATAAATGCAATCGTTTTTACTGAATGCATTTTTCACACAAACATCTCTCTAGATAGAACCAGGGTTACAATACGTAACCCACCGTTCTTCTGCGGAGGTCCTTGAACGCCCCGCTGCCACTCTCACGGGGCTGTGCGCCCTTCGTATTAACGCTGTGTTTCACATTCAACTGTGAAATGCATTAATCGGAGCTATTATACCATTATTATGTGTTTTCTGACAACAGCACGCCGGCAATAGCGTCTTTGAACCCGCACAGTGCTTTGACAGCACTTTCTGCGGTTTATTCCACTCACATGCGCGCACTCACCTGCTGCTTCCTTTACTGGAGTTACAGCTGGGCGGCGAGTGTGGGACAGTGTTCTGTCCTCTGAGGATGAGCAAGAAGCAGCATACGCCAAGCTGCGACTACTCCTCATCCACGTGACCAAGGAAATCGATCCAAAGAGCCCTTCCGTAGACATGGGGGCTCCCAGGAGATCATCACAGTCTTTTTTTGGAAAGCGCCATGCGGCGTGATCCCCCCACGGCAAGCATCGGCGGCCACACGGCAGACCAGGCTATTAATTTGGCCGATGCTGCGGCCAAATAATCGCTCTGATCCGGTGAGGTGGGGGCATCTTGCGGAAGAGCAATCAGCGAGACGCCCCACACACCCGTGTTTATTTGCAGCCGCCCTGTCACGCGGCAGCGGGGCAGAGGTTCTCTGCCCAGCCTGCTGCCTGCTGGGAGAAGATGGGCTGCCACGGTCCGCCGCCATGGTCATCACCAGGGGGAAGTCCTGGCGGACAGACCTGGGCGGTGGACTTCCATGGACGCCGGACCTGGAAGTGCCCGACAATGAGAAGTCCTCGTCATCCTCCTCCTCGGCAAACGGAGCCATTCGCCCTGCTGGAATGGCGAATGTGAATGGCACCTCCTCGTATGGACGCGGGAAGGGGGGGGGGGTGCTGAGGGGGCTGCAGCACCGCCATCTCCGGCGGAGAGTTGTAATTGCAACGTCAAAAAGTTCACTAAACAAATCAATACAAAAGTTTTATTTTGAGTTACTATTTTTGAGTTAACATTTTAGTCTAAGCAGTCTATAAAAAGCTTCACTATAGAGTGGCGAAGTCCCTCCCCTTCCGGTGGACCTCCATGGGACCTTATTTCGGAAAAATGATGTATTGAAGTCAATGGAGAGAGAAAGATTATCTTTCGATCCCGTTTGAATTGTGCCACGAATTACACATATGATGTTTGTCAATTTAAAAGATAATTTGCAAGTCAAAAAAAAAAAAATTGTGCAGTAACTGTGAAGTAACACATTTGTTTGTGTGAAACACTCAATGAACTACATCTCTGGTCAACAACACACGTCACCAAGATGGCCGTCACTACTGTCAACAAAACGATTGACTACCCTCACTATCACCACAATGAAACACGTCCTGGAGAAAGTCATGCAAAGCTGCCTGCCTGCCTTCCTTTGATTCTCTCTGAACTGCCTGGTCTTTTTAATGTTTAATGTCAACCATTTGTGCAGATAGCATGAAGTAGAGAAGATCGCTAGCGTTAGCGTTAGCATTTCTCCCCCGGGCTTAAATTGTGTATTATAGAATGATCACACCGGTGTGACAGTACTCTTCAAAGGGTTCACGAAATATGACTACTACTCTTACTGTTTAACATTTTGGGTTACTTAATGTTACTTCATGTTAAGGCTAATACAAATGACAAGGCTGTAATGCTAACTAACGTGCTAGCTACTAGCTAGCTTGATCCAGACACTCCTAGTCCTTTCATCAGACGGGAAGCGAAAGAACGAGCAAGACCCATTGCTGGTATGAACAACCTGGTACTAAGCACACAGGCATCTTGTTAAAGTTATCTTATCTTAGCCAGCGCCATATAGATAGATTCTATCTATATGGCGCTGATCTTAGCTATCTCTTAGTGGAGGAAAACAATTGTGACATCACTTACGCGACTCTGGGATTTGTAGTCTTTCTAGTTGCGTATTTTTCATAGTCTTATATTTCAACAGTTTTACGACAAACTGTGACTTTTTTGACATGGAAATGATTTTTTAAGATTGACAAACATCATATGTGTAATTCATGGCACAATTCAAACGGGATAGAAAGATAAGTTTTCTCTCTCCATTGACTTCAATACATTATTTTTCCGAAATAAGGTCCCATGGGGCGGAAGTAGATGGGCGTGACTTCGCCACTCTATATAAGAGAAAGTGATAATGCGGTGTGCTTCTTCTGTTGCTCTGCTATAGAAAAGTATGGCGTTATATTTGTGCCTCTATCCTGAGCACGCAATGAAGCATGTTGAGCATAGGAAATGCTATTGAGCGCGCACTTGAAAATGTTTGAGCACAGAGAAATATATTTTCTCTCATAAAACTCCTGCTCCGTGCGCAAGCAGACCGCTGCACGCCCTCTCTCTCCCTCGCTCGACCTCTCCACCCTGCGCGCTCAGCTTTGCCTGCCTGCTCGCTCAAGTTGTCACAGCGTTAAAAATGTGCCACAAAACCAACCAATCAGAGAACTCGAGAAGGTCAATTCTGATTGGCTGATCGTCTCCAATCATATCTTCTATCTGAGATTTTCTGATATCACGTTATTGTTTGCAATGCCTTTGACGAAACCTTTTATCCGATCGTTTCAGATAAGGGTGAGTTTGCTAGCCGGCAACATAGCTATATGGGTAGTTTAAGCAAACAGCTAACAAACCGTAGCCTACATGTACATGAACCCTTCTGAGGTATTGATTACTTGCTGTAAGCATTAGAGGTGGCAGAATGACAAAACATGTTTCTCTCACTATCACAATTTTTTGGTTGACCAGAACCTGGACCAACTTCTGTTTCCTGTTCTACAATGGGCATAGAGCTTGCGTTAATTTAACTTGCGGACAACTAAACAGATTAGGCTAGGATACCGGATAAAGTTAGCAACACACGTTAACCATGAACAGCCTATTAATCCGTTCTCCTAATTCAACGTTGTGGATTTAGAGAAAAGGGGCTTCTTAGCGTGCTTTTATCCGGGGTGGAGGGAGTTAAATATTAGTTAAATATAACATTGGGGCGTGTGATTGTAGTGGGTGGAGTTGGTGAAATGAGGATATCCATTTTGGAGTTCAAGCTAGTATATTATAGTTAACGTTACACAATAATAAGGAAGAGAGCTATTTTTGTGATACATCGCTATTGATATGGATTTAGAGTGCATATTTGAGACTTCCAAACAGTAAACAAAAACGTAATTTATGGGTGAGTGTTTTTAGCAGAGTCATATAATGTCCTTGTGATTCTGTTGATTATTACCTGTCTGTATTATGTTGCAGCTCAGCTGATTTTGGATTGATGGCAAAGGGAGATGGACTTAAGTGAGAGTGAAAACACAAGGTAAGTTTAAAATAGGTCAGCAATTTCCCATCCTATAGGTTGCTATATAGATGTATCTAACCCTTTCTCCTGTCTTTGTCTCCCTCTTTCAGCACAAGAACCCCAGGGGGATTCAATGGAGCCTGAAGACCTGCAATGAGACCCTCACCCTGCACCTGAGTCTCAACTCCCAGAGTTTTGCAAGCCTCTCCCTGTTCCTTATTTTTATTAAACCAGATATTAAGCTTCCCAATGGTGTGGTCTTCGTTTTGTGAAAAATATGATTACCTCACATATGTTGTTGCTGTTGTTGTCTTTTGTGATAGTTAAATTGCTCCTGCTGACTTGAGCCAGCCATTCTTTCCTCCTCTCTGTGTCAGTGGGGAAACCGTACATTCATACTCCTTTCTCTGAACGATTGGAGCATCCCCAGGCAGCACAGCAAACCATGGGGGAGACTACTGTATATGCCAAGACAACACAGAGGAAAAGGCACAGACAAACTGCATGACCTGCTATTCAATGTTTATTGAATTCCATTTATTTACAATGGATGTTCCTAAAACAACACATTTAACATCATCATCATGCTGCTGCTGCTAGTCCTTTGACTCATGGTGCTGTCAGTTGATAATCATTGATAGGCACCTGTCGGTCTCCTGTCCTTTCTGAAAGTCATAAAGATTACATTAGTCATTTAGATTACTTATGTCCTCAATTACCATGGGATTACTGAAACCACCATGAATTAAAGAAATGGTAGAAATTATTCTAATCTGAATTTTGAAGCCTTCCTTCAGTTCCCATCCCCTCCCTCTAAATATATCAATAAACATTAGGATGTGATGCTCCTGACTACCATACAAGTTTAAGAAGATAATATTTGTTTTAAAGAATTCAAAGCAATAAACAACAGCAACAGGCACTGTAACCAAGGCAACGTTAGCCTAACATGTATATGTTAACAGGTAAGATAGCTGTTCACACTATCTATGTATATTTTCTACTTTTTGTAATGCTATTTTATTTCTATTTAAGATGTTTACATTTTCAATTGTTTAATTCTAGTCTTTTAACTATCTAATGTACAATGCCTTGTCTTTTGCTGCTGCAGCGTAAACATTTCCCCAATTGGTATCAATAAAGTACTTCTTATTTTATCTTAATCCTCAAATATTAGCACATTTTACTTTAAAAAAAACAAAAACATATTGATGTAACTACATACACATATCGATATGTTGTATAAATATTGCAAATCAAAACCTTTATTGACCACTAATTACCAAAAATTGCATTTATATCCTGTTATTAATGCATTCAAATCGTGATTCAAATGGCCCGCCACGAACTTCTGGGAACTTTCTGAGTCTCTCTGAACCACGTAACAATCAAGCATTTTTTACTTCCGCTGTCGCAACTCTTCTCTCTACTGGACCAGCCAATCAGAATTGACCTTCTCGAGTTCTCCGATTGGTTGGTTTTGTGGCACATTTGTAATGCTGTGACAACTTGAGCGAGCAGGCAGGCAAAGCTGAGCGCGCACATGGTGGAGAGGTCGAGCGAGGGAGAGAGAGCGTGTGCAGCGGTCTGCTTGCGCACGGAGCAGGAGTTTTATGAGAGAAAATATATTTCTCTGTGCTCAAACATTTTCAAGTGCGCGCTCAATAGCATTTTCTATGCTCAACATGTTTCATTGCGTGCTCAGGATAGAGGCACAAATATAACGCCATAGAAAAGAAGCTCGTCAGTGCAGACAAGATCAGGGATGGGAGTTTTGTGAAAGCAGGGTTTAACAACTGGCGAAAGGCAGGGGAAAAATGTAGAAGAGAGAAGTCCCATCAACACACAGGCCGTCAACAAACTGGCAGCATTAAAACGAACACCGATGAATGCGCTGCTCTCTGGTGGTGGGGATCCGCGCCCGCTATTAAGCCAGGGCACGAAGGACAGGCCCGGGTCTCCAGAAGTGGCGACTCCATGAAGGTATGATAACTCTTTCTTCTTCTTTCAAACGTTTGACTTTCCCTGTCAGGTGTTGCTCGCTCGCTGAAGAGAAAAGGATGACAGGATCAGGAGGCGTGGCCGCTTTATATACTGTGTGCCTGCGCGCGCATTCAGGTAGGCTCGCCCTGATTGGTCGGCTACGTTTACAGTATACAAATTCAGTGTGTGAATGCTCGCATAGCATGGTTGAGAGTAGTACCCATAGAGTCCAGTAGAGGGCGGAGCCTGTGTGAAATATAACAATCTTCACTAATAAATAGTAACAGGTGTTTTTGATTTCTTGGGAAACTGTGCCTTAAAGGTATCTACATTGCCAAGCATGAGTTTGTATTAATCATATCCCACTGAGACACTCTGATGAAGAGGGCTTGCTCTATCTCTCTTTAGCCCCGCTTTAAAGCCACTATCAGCTGAAGAGGAAACTATTAGACGGTTCATTGAGACTTAAAGTCAGACAGTTCAGATTTGGTGCTGGCTTTTAGTTCTTCAATCTTTTTCTGCAGAGAGGCAGGAAAAACCATCATATGGAAAGAAATTCATGGAGAGAGACAACAGTGAAAGCAAAACTGCATGTATCCCTGTATTAAGCATTACACGATTGTATTTGGTAAGATAAAGGATTTTATTCAATCACATGAATAATCCAGTCCTTGTAGGTTTATAAGAAACAAAGAGGTTTAGGAGTAACAATTTGTTCAGCTCCAGGTCTGACAATGAACCATTAGAAAACTGTAAAAGATTATAATGAGATTTGTATTCTCATTGAACACTCATGTGCATATTGAGTTAGATCTGCATCCCTGGAGTAGAGAGACTTGTGGATCCTCCATTAGCATCGTTTATGCTTTGAAATTTGTGGAGATGAAACAATTAGAGGGTTGGTAAGAGTTAACTGTCAAATGGAAATGGCGAAGTGCTATATGTGTAGACAGGGAACACACATAGAACCGGCCATCATAGAAACGCAGATTACACTGAGTGGTTTTAGTGAAAAGATGTCCTTTGGGAGATATCAATAATTTTCTCAGTGAGTAATTTATTCTTGACACCACTGCCTGTGATCAGCCTCTCTTCAAAGCATTTCCAGCTATTTCTAAAGGATCTCTTGATTAAGTCGTATAGATATTCACCATCTTTACTATACATTTCCAACACAAAATCCTTAAAGGGGACATGCAAAAATAACTTTTTCAGTGTGCCTTCCATAAACTCATTCAGTATTTTGGAGCTGCTTCAGTAAAAAACATGGGAATTAGCAAGCCATTCGGTTTGGTTACCTTGATCACATGAAGTCTTATTAGAATATAACACCTCCATGTGAGTATATATAGCGACAGCTTGATAGCTGGATTTGCAATTTTTCTTGTCAATCAGAGAATATTGTTTTTTTTCCCAGAGAAATAAAATAACAACCCTAAAACACGGCGCACCAATGACTTGGGACCAAAGAGCAATTATCAGAAGCCGAGTGGTCCAATTTCTTTCATCCTGAAGAAGGGGCCTTGCAGAATGCTGATGTCTTTTTAGCTCTGGGGACTGACAAGAGCAATGTATGCGAGAGTGGTGAGCATCTAATAGAGAGAGATAAAAAGTAGCATGTCGATTTAACATTTTACGTCATTAGAAGAACCTTATAGTCTCATGGATTAAAGCCAATGAAAGAAACAAAATATATGTGTAAAATGTCCAAAGCTTTACTTGTATTTGAAATTCCAGCAGCCCCATTCAAAGGCTTTTGGCGATAGCATGAGGCAGGGCAAAAAAAGCAAGAATCAGATGATCTACACTACAGAATATTTACCTATACTGTGAGTGTGAATGAGAAAACACTAGAAAATGCAGTTCCTGCTGAAAATGCGTGCAAATGCTGTAAACTGTGTACATTTGTTGCTGAATTAAGCTGAAAATGCAGAAAAATAAAAAATATGTTATCAGTTGAATGGTCTCTGTAGCCTGCTTTTAGCTACAAAAACCAAGTAAGTGTGTTGCTGAACTTAGCGGAGAAATGCAGAAAAGTGAAATGATTTGAATCAAAATGGTTCCAGCTCAAATGCATTGCAATAGCCGCGTTCACACCGGAGTACTTTTCACCGTACTTTTCGCGTTTGGTTCCGTTAATACCCCTTATGTCGCGTTCACACCAAAAAGAGCACTTAATCTCGGGAACTTTTACCCCCATTTTTAGTGCCTGCTGAGAGATCGTACTTTCCTGGGGGAAAAAAGTGCCCCAGTTCTGGTTGGCTGGGCGAATTGCAAATCACGCCCCGTACAACTCTGAAATGTTTTGTAGAGCCGCCATTTTATTATCCTCGCATTAGCATTATTAGCATTAGCATTCGCCCAGCGCACAAACGCAGAGAGACTAACTTATGGCAACACAAAACAAAACATGGGAGCGGTGGAGATGAGGAGGTGTCGGCGTTCTGGCGATTTACTCGGAAGGCTTCAGTAGAAGCTGCTGGGAGTCCCAGCAGCTTCTACTGAAGCCAGTCCCCAACTCCGGGGACTTCCGGCCGGGGACTCCGGGTGGCAGTATACGCCGTGAAGTTGTTTGCGGCCTGCCAGTAAACCCAAAGCAGAAGAAGACGAGATACGTCAGCGGCTCATTTGCGTAATCTTCCCTCAGGGAAAAGTACTCCGGTGTGAACGCGATCTGTACTAAATGCCCTGGGGTCATAAGTGCCGGGGCTCTGAGTGCCGGCACTAAATACGGCAAAGTACTTGGTGTGAACGCGGCTAATGACTTTGTTGAAAACTTGAAAGTGAAATGTTAAACTGGAAGAGTCGGAACAATAGTGAAGAATCCGTGTATCTACCGTCCAATTTTTTTTTTTTATTAAACACGTAAACGGAAGAGCGTCTGAGAGGCGTTTTTGCTTTTTGCTTTTTACCTTACTAAATGGTCAAATGGTCCTTGGAGCGAGGGGCGGGGCGAAACTCACGGAAGTGATTTCAAAACAAAAGCACTCGTTTGCTAAAATCACACTTTACTCCAATAGTATCCTGCTGAAGGAACGGTGATTATTATAAACAAGGGGAATTTAGCGATCACAACGAAAACGGCCAAGACACATATTGAGCCCAGAAAATTGATGTTATTAAGGGCTGTAAATATAATAAGCCTATGTCTAAAATGTACAACATTGTTAGGAGATTTAAACTATACAGCGATTCTGCACTGCGGTCACTCAGCCGCCTCTCGAGTTTGTTTTTTTAAATCAGCTG